AGGGGGGCAAGGGAGGCTTTGGAGAGGGGCGCTTCCTGAGTTTGGCATGGCGTTGATTTAAAAATAAGTTCTTTAAGTGGGAAAAGGCATTCTCCAAGGAATGATTACGGGGTGGCACTGGAGAGAGGAAAAGTGACGGAGCGGGGGCAAGTGCAGAGGTGATGTTACATCCCACCCTCCCCGGCCAGCCTTGCTTTGCAGGCCCCTGGCCCTGTGGTGGTGTGTGGCAGCTCGAGCACATCTGTCAGCTGCCTGGAGTACATCAGTCGAGACTCTTTTCAGAAGTCGTCCTGCTCCGCTTTCTCTTCCTCTTGCATTCAGCATCTTGTCTCTTGCATTTGGCATCATTTTTCTGACTGAATCTGCCCCTGGCTGGAGGGGCGTGAAGCGTGTGAACTTCCACGGAGAGCCCCAAAGCCAACATATATCAGTTCTGGCTTTTTAAAATATGGCCTCAGATCACTAAGTGCCAGTAGTCGATGCCCTGGTGACTCATGAAGTTTTCTGTAACACTTTCATAGTTCACATAGCTGTGGGGAGCTGATAACTGAGTCACGGATTTCCTCGAGCTCCCGGGTCCTGACCGGTTTCAGACAGCTGGAACAGGTGTATCTGAAAGCATGGGTAAAGATACGATACTGATGGGGTTTTTTCCTCCCATAGACTTGTTCTTGCCCCCTGCCACTGTCCCTGCTTTTTTTGTGGCAACAAAATGTTGAAGATTCCAGTCAGCATCACTGGCACAGGCTGAGGTCATAGGTACAGGTTGATTAAGGTAACAGGGGATTTGTTTTTCCTCATGTGAGTCTAATGATTTTATGTTTTTGCACTTTGGATTATTACAGCGGTAATATTAGCATTACATATTTACAGTTAGGGTTGCTCATTAGCTCACACCTGGCTTTCATAGTTTTCCCAGTGCTTTTCCAAAGCAATTTTTTGTTTGCACTGAAGTCTTCCAGTGGACAAGTCAGCTGTCCCTTTTGGACTGAAGATTGTGGCGGTTGCTGGTTGGCTGTTTTAGCAGACCAAAATTTTCATCTGTGTCCTGGGATCAGCATACACGTTTCTTTGGCAGCTGAATTTCCACTCTTCCTGACATGCACCAGTCCTCCCAGTAGCAAGGAGTTACTGTGGTTTCAGTTCTGCAATACAGTGCCAAGGATCCAGCTTGGAGACTGAAACTGGTGCTTCGCTCGGATGCTGAGATGTAGGGGTTGAAGTGGTGCAGGACAGGAGCAGGACTGCAGGGATTGTGCAGATAGGAACCGTGAAGAAGATGGACAAGGAAGAAGGGAGCAGAGGTATGAACAAAAGAAACCTTAGTTATTTCTGGAGCGTATTCCCCTCCAGAAGCTAGGACTGATCTTATTGTGCCGGCATGCTTGATGGTCGTCTGCGAGGGAAACACCTATGAAACGCACTGATGAAGTGTGCTTCATCTCCCTCTGGCAGTCCTGCGCAAAGGGTAAGGGCTTGTTCTGCAGCTGTGCCATACCCTGCTGTCTCAGAGCTGTGTGCTACGTAGGTCTTCAGATCCCAGTCCTGCTTGTGACCCATGAAGACTGATACAGTGTCAAACAATAGAATTTCTCTCCTCAGGTTTTGCTTTCTTCGAAAAAACCTCTCAAAAGGTATATTGAAAGAGTAGTGAAATGACAAATTAGGTGCTTGGAAGTTAGACATAATGTTGCCTATATATCCCAATGCAGTTCACTTCTGCATATGCATTATGATACAGTTTCACTGTACTTGTTTTATTGCACAAGGTAAACTATGTAACAGAATCGCGTTGCTATAACCCGCTGGGCTGTTGGTCATCCCATTTATTATCAGATACTTTGCATAACTTCAGAGCTACAGCAAATAGGGCTGGGACCGCAGGCAGGGGAGGGAGAGAGTAGTTATCAAAAATCACAGGTGCTGATCATTTGCAGTAGAAACGCAAATCACTGGGAATCCAGCGATGTACCTGTGAAGGGTTGTTAGGAGTGCCAGATTTCCACAAGTATTTAGCATCTTTAACTGGGCACAGCGGACTCATTGGAACTCTCAGTCCTTCCGTCCTTGACCTCTCTAGATGTAAAAGGTGAAAAATGGTATCACTTTCTTGGTGTATCATGGGTACTGTATTGGCTCACATTGGAGGAGGGAAAAAACATACCTTAAGAGTAATTGTGTACTCAGTTCATGTTTGTAGAGTTCATATACTGAAGGGTTAGGATAAAAATAGACAAATTCTTCAGGTCAGCACTGGATGCTGTGTAAATCTGATGGTCGGGGGGGGTGGGGGGAAGGCAGCAAAACCTTCATTGGACGTACGTACAAAGGGTGCTTTGTAAGCACTTTGGCACACCTTTAATTTGAGGAGTTTGAGTGTTGGACTTGCTATTCTAAGAGTCTTTGGTGCTCTTTTTTATTTTAGTTTTTACCTGAAAGAGATGCAGGTTTTCTTAGTTTAAAAAAAACATAAAATGTTCTAACACTTCAAAATGCAGTTTAGTTTTGGAGGAGCAGCAGAGATACATTGGAGAGTAGTCCAAGACTGCTTGTTCCTTTGTGTTTTAAAGTGCTTTATATATATGTCGAAAATTTCAGCCCTTGTTTTTTGTCTCTCTTTAATAAAAAATCAGTTGTTATGTTGGAATTGACTCCAGATAACAACCCACTACTACTTTATTTTTTGATTTTTCTTTATTTCCTTAGCAATAATTGCAGATGTAGGTTTTAGGTTTGTGTTTCTTAATAAGCTGCTCCTTTTCTCTTGCTTTTCTCTTCTCTATCAGTTCTGCAATAAACCTTGTACGTCAGCCTTTGTTACTGTAGTGGCAGGATCATGACATCAAGTGCAGCGTTTTGATTGAGAAAGAGTAGAGCGTTTCTGCAAGAGCAGCTTGAGTCTTCTGTCATCTCTAGGGCTTCAGTTGCAGGATGACTGATACAAATTTATATGACTGATATAAATGTATATTTATACAAATATATATGACTATATTCAAATTTGGAAATGAAAAGGTTAAAACCTGAGTTATGTAAGACCTGATTGTGAAATGTCATGGAGAGCAAATGGTTCGTATGATACTAAAGGAACACTTTTCCTTCATAGTTTTATTAATACTTATTATGATATAAATTCTGAGTTCTACCTAGTAAGGCTTTTCACTTCCGTTAATTTTTATGTTCCTAGGGAAATGATTTTTGGTTTTCTTTTCTTGCTTTACAGCTTGGCACTGCAATTGGCTTTTTGTTGCCACCTGTTTTGGTTCCAAATACACCTAACGATATCAATCTAATGGCACATAACATCAGCATCATGTTCTATGGAACAGCAATAGTGTCCACACTTTTGTTCTTCTTAGTAGGAGTTGGTAAGTGTTCCGTTCTTGTAATTTAAATGGTGACCGTAGGGAGTGTTTACAACATCTCGCTTACTTAAAGCATCTGACTTAGCTCAAAGTAGTTGAGGTTACATTTTCTCCAGTTTACTTGTGTTCACTTCCCTGTTGTGCCAGGGTTAAGTGACAGCCAGTTTACTGTAGGTTGTGCTTCACGTGAGGTGACCTCTCAGAATATTTAGTTCACTTAGGCTTTTTGCTAGAAGGACATTATGATATAATGATTATTATGATATAGTTCTCTCTGTTAATCTTACAATTCAGGTACAAAAGTCTAGACACATTGCAGATGAAGTCTGTGTTTGACCATATGTTGGTAGCAATCAAATGTGACCAAATAATTAGCACATCCTTTGTGGCTGTGACTTGATTCTTCCATGAGAAAATCTAGAGTATTTTTTTCATGAAAGTGTTAAAAACCACAAGTTAGTCTTCTGAAATTCATCAAATGGAAACACTTCAAAAAGAAAAAGCATTAGTCTGGTAAAGGCAAATCAAATTGTTCCTTCTTCTTTTTCCCCAGTGTTTGAAGAAAAGCCCAAATACCCTCCTAGTCACTCTCAAGCAGTCCTGCAAACTATGCCTCCCGAGGATTACTCCTACAAGCAGTCGATTATTAACTTGTTCAAAAATATTCCATTTGTACTTTTGCTGATCAGTTACGGTAAGGGGTGCTGTCTGGCCGTAGTCTGCAAAACTGATCAAATGTGTGCTGAGAGCACACCGAGTTTTAGTTGTGGTGGTGGTTTTTTATGGGGGAGGGAGCGTCAAACTTTCATTTACTCAGCAGCCGGTGCTGGAAAATCCAGCAAGATTCAAAATACCGTTTATAGGTCTGGTGAAGAGATTTTACGTGGCAGATAAAAGGTTTTGCCTCTGATGTGAATCTTAAATATCAGAAGATTAACTGTTTAGGGTAGCAGATCTGTGTGGCTACACCTGGAATGACTGAAACTTTTCTTTTGGTACTGCAGGTATTATGACTGGGGCATTTTATTCTGTCTCCACATTATTAAACCAGATGATAGTAACTCATTATGAGGTAAGTGTCTTGGTTCTTCTTTGATTTTTTTTTTATTTTTTTTTTTTACTGTACATTAGCAGAGATGATGTTTATTATTATGTAGGTGTTATGTGTGCTCAGATGTTTGATTTCCTTTATACTCCCCTACAGTTTCTTGCACGATACAGCTATGGGAGTCATAGGAATGTTTGTTTGCACTTATGACTGCCAAGAGGTCTGAACTTGACTCTGAGTGGAAGCAAGTTATTAATGAGCACCATATAAATATTTGTTGAAAGGGAGAAGAAGTGAACGCTGGGAGAATTGGCTTGACACTGGTGGTGGCAGGAATGGTGGGTTCGATTATTTGTGGTTTGTGGCTGGATTACACTAAAACATACAAGTAAGTGTGGGTAGGCATGTATGGGGTTAGGGGTAGGAGAGCAGTGCAATTGCATTAGAAAAATACTGCAATGTAAGGGCTGAAGTGAACTGATGATAAAATGCAGTTCATCCCTGATCTTTTAGCAGCCTTGATAGAGACTAGTTTCTGAGGCTACAGCAAAAGCTTGAGACTCTTAATGATTCTTGGCCAAAAGAAATGAGAGAGGAGAATACAAAGATGCGAAGAGGTTTTCCATCTATTCCTCTCTCTTCAGGAGTGTAAGGCTAACAAGGAAAGCGCTGTATGTCCTACATACAGTCTCCCAGTGGGCTGCTCCTCCTAGGAAAGCATAAAGGCTCAAAACCTACTCTGCATTGAAATGGATGGTTGGTGGATTCTAATTTTTTTTTGTGCTACTGCTGGTCCTATTACTAAGCATAACATTTGCTTTAATTCAGGGGACGACTATGGAGCAGAACTCTGTTCTGGGGTAGGAGCTTGCAGGTCCATCACCCATGGTGTGGTGACACCAGGAGTGAGCAGTGTCCTGGAGCGCTGCTTATGGCGGAGTATTCTCCCCTGTGATTCTTAGTACATTATGTGCAAGAGCTCTAGAAACCTAATGGATGTTAATGCTGTAAATTGGCTTTGTTTCTGCATGTGTTTTGGCTTATAAATAAGTGACATGTGCTTTAATATTTTGGATGACATCCCTTATTCCAGATTTAAAATAAATAGAACATTGTAATGAGATTTGTTTGACTTGCCTCTTAGGCTGACTTTTGTTGCTAATAGTGTTCGATTTGGCTGCTCATGTATTGATGTATTGTATAATGGGCAGTGCTGCAGAATGGCCAAGAGGTACAACATAGCGGAGAACTAAAGTAGTGTTAAGGTAATAGTATCTGCTGTGATTGTCCACTCTTTGAGAGTCTGGGTAAGTGTCTTTAGCCTTGAGTGAAGCAGGCATATAACCAAGGCAATAAAGACTTTGGGAAGGATATGTCCTTATTGCATGATATGTTTGAGCCAGAATTACATGAAGCAAATTTAATAGCTGTAGATTGTCAGTTGTTAGAGAGTAAGTGATGTTTTATGTTACCCTTCCATGCTTCAGCAATGTGCTGTGACCTTATGTTAATAATGTTTTGTTTTTTTTTTTTTTTCTTGGCTGGGTTGCAGGCAAACTACGCTGATTGTTTACATTCTCTCTTTCATTGGGTTGCTGGTATTTACTTTCACCCTGGACCTCGGATACCTTATAGTAGTGTTCGTGACTGGAGGAGTGCTTGGGTGAGTGATTAAAGAGGACTAGAAGACTTAACTGCAGTTCTGTTCAGAAACAATATTTAACTGTTTTAACTAAATGATTCTACTGTATATTCTGTTGCCATGCTCTCAACCTATGCCTATAGCTCACAGTACAGGTAGGGTTTACTAGGGTTTCAACTTCTGTTACAGCAGAATAAATCTAAAGTAACTCACTTTCCAGTGAATTTCATTTAACATTTTATGGATCTAACAGAAGTCTGTATGCGGTCAATTTGTTTGGTGCCAATTCAAAAAGCTGACTGCAGTGAAGTTGAATCTTTCTGTTGACCAGTGGATAAATGATTAGAGTTTAACTGAGCAAATCTAGGAAGATTGGCTTCTGTGCATTTTGATTAATCTATATTTTGATAGGCAAGCAACATGCTGGGTGCTTTGTTCACTCAGAGGAGCATGAGCACTTCTCATAGATACATAATCTAAAAGCCCCAAAAGGTGCTGAGAGAATAGTGCTGTATGCAGACACAGCAGTTAAGAGAGAGCCAGAAATGTCTGGAGAGTTTAATTTTAAAAACCAATCAACCACCCTTAACTGCATTAAGCCCCTGCTCTTCCTGTCACCTGTCAGTCCCCTCAGCTTCTTCCACAGCAGCTTCTAGCAGACATTCCAGTGTCCAGCCTCACTCCCTGCTGATGGTCTCTTTTGGTCCTCCGGCATGGATGTTTAGGCTGATCAAAAGATGATGTTTGTCTCTGTCTTTCATTTGAAAGTAATTGGCTTCAATTACGGAGTGGCTTGTGGAGTGGTCAGAGAAGGTTGTTTCATATCTATGGAGTGGAGTGCAGGTGGTTATGGGAAACAGGACACATATGTTAAAACATCTTTCTTCTAAGAAGAGAGATGTATGGCTAAAATTGTTGGATGAGGTCGGGGGAATGAAGCAGGCAAAGCAAATATTGAATCATATTAGGTCTTGAAATCAGACAGTTTGGAATACCAACTAATTCATTATACCATGTGTTTATGTTTGATTTTCTGAGCTGTAGTAATAGATGAAGGCCACACCTGTCATCCTCTTACTCTCCTCTTCAACAGGTTCTTCATGACTGGCTATCTCCCACTTGGGTTTGAATTTGCTGTGGAAATTACATACCCAGAGTCTGAAGGCACTTCCTCAGGTCTTCTTAATGCATCAGCACAGGTTACATAGTTTTATTTCTTCAAGTGAAGTAATGCTCAGGCCACTCTGCTCGAATCTAAGGTGGCTTTCTTAGACTTGGCTGCTGAGTCTCCGTTGTGTTGCTATAGTCATAATTTTTTAAATTTGGTTTCTATAAGATGTGACCTGAAACTTTGCAAGGTAAAGTGATGACTCTTTTCTATATGACCCTGATGAAGTGACTTGTTTGTTTATAGATATTTGGAATTGTCTTTACACTTGTTCAAGGAAAACTCACAACAGACTACAGTCCTCGTGCAGGAAACCTCTTTCTTTGTGCTTGGATTTTTGTGGGCATTATCTTAACAGGTAATTAATCGAAGTGTAAGTAATGGTTTCTCTTTAATGTAAAAATGTGGAGGTTTTTTTTGAGATAGTGAATTTCTGGGTAGTTTTTAGATGTCTCAGACATCTACGATTTAAATATGTGGCTTCCTGTCTGGGCTCAGAGAAGTTGTAAATGCAGGGTTTGAGGTTTTTCTGCTTTGTTTTTCGCTTTAAATACTTGCTATGTGCACACCCTTTGTTTTAAGGATGATGTTGCTAGTATATGGACAGCCATCTGTCACCCATTTCTTGAGTCGGCTTGAATCTGAGGCAGACGTCTGTCTCCAGAGTAGGATAGTAAATATAAATAAATACATAAATGGAGACAGTTTGCAGTATTCCAAATGCAAGAGACTGCTGATGTATTCCTGAACTATACCATACTGGTACTTACAAATGTGCTGAAAGTGCTAAAACTATCAAGCTTTGCTTTAAGTACTCATGGTTCTAAAGCTTTTTTTGTAATTTTCTGTGTTTGCTTTGTGAGGAGCAAGTTCAAATTGTCAGTAAGTTCAAATTGCAGAAGAGTGAATACAGGTATGTTGAATGTGTGCTGAAAGCAGCTTCCGTGTGCTTGCACTGTACATTTCACTTGAAATGCATATCAGTGCAAAGTTGTGAACCAGCCTTCTCTTTATTTTTTTGTTCCAGCCTTAATAAAATCAGATTTGCGAAGACATAATGTGAATTCAGGGATTATGAATTTGGATGTTAAAGCTGTAAGTGGCGACTCTTTTACCATGATTGTATTACCGTACTTGAATGTTTGGCTTCTATTGGCATAATAATATTAACAGCAAAAGAGTAATTGACAAAAACTTGTAATATGACTGTTTCCATGCTGTTTTGGAACAACAGAGCCACATGGGATGCACCCCTCAGATATCTGTTTCTCCCCTTAGCTCCCATGAAAAAAACTGAAAGACCTGCACTCAGATTTTCCTGGATTTTAAGTGACTAATATTAATCTCTGATTTTATTGCTTGGGTCTTGCTTTTTTCATATTTGCAGATAGCATTGTAAATTGTGAAGCCTTTTTATGTATTGGGTTAGGAGGCTGTGCTATAGACTACATATTTTATTTAAAATACCTGCAGTCCTTTTAAGTGAAGTCAGTGTCTGATGAACAGAAGTCATGCTGCAGTTTCTGTGCTGTGCTGCATGAAAAGCTGGGTCTGTTCTTCTGCTAAGCACCCTCACAATTTAGGTGAAGAGTGAGCACAGCACTTGCTGCTGTTCAGGATGTTCCAAGACCACGTTTCAGCAGATTTTCCAAATTATAACTCGTAGAAATAAGGCTGTCAGTGGAAACTTTTCAGTGCTGTGGGGTTTTTGATCATTTGGATCAAGATAATGAAATGGCTTTTTGGAGTCAGATATTGCAGGATCCTCTGTCATGCTTCTTTTTATGTGTGTCTTGAATGTATAGCAGCTTTTGATCATCTGTGATCAGGTGCGCACTGTTAGTGTCTGCATAAGGTTCAGAAGCTTCCAAACTGGTGCTCTATGAGCTAACTTGAACCTGAAACCTGTGCAGCTGTACGTGCACAGTATGGCATCCTGGGCATTTACCAGCCTAGGTCAGGGCTGTCTCAGGGGTGTACATGCTGACTATAGGCAGTGGTCCATGACTGATGTGTTTGCTGTTAGCAACTTGTTAATTAGCCTAGATTGTCGCACAACTTCATTTATATTAGCAAAGATATAAGAAAAGCTGGAGTCCTTGCCTTGATATTACCACAAATAATTGAGAGCTGCCCGTGTTAATAAGGTACAATAGCACTTTGATACCAAACCTTGATCATCAAGATTCTACAGTGTTTAAATGTAAGGAGAAAAAGCCTGAAAGTCAATCTCCATGTGATAAATATCTATATGCAGTAAATATATACATTCGAGTTATACTAAGAAACTCAGTTCTGTGGGTTTTTTTGATTGTGGGTTTTTTTTTTTCATTACAGAGAGAAGGGAAAATAGGGCTTTCTATAAATGTCTAATTTGGCTAATTAGTTACATATACTATTGGAGCCTAACCTAATAATTACCCAAGAATACTGAGGTTGGGAATAGCTTCTGCTGAGTAACAGCATAATTCCTGCTTCTTTTTTCCCCTCTCCAGGTACCAGTTGACAGTCCTGTAGAACCCGAAAGTACCACATTAAAAATACAGTCAGCTTTATAAAGCTGAAAGAAGGTGACTTAAAAACGCACATGTTTGGTTGGATACTGAACAATATTAATCATTGTAAACACTGGATTTGTGTGTATGAGTCGTAAAATGTGTTTGGTGAGATTGGTGATAGTTGTGCAGTGGAAACTATGAAGATGCTCCGTTTGTTTTGCCCAAGACGCAAGCAATTCACCTTTGTACAGAATATTTATTTTAACAGTTTTCAAGTTTTGCAGTTTCATTAGTAAAGAACTGTGTGAATAGTCTGCACACTAAGGAGATGTACATTCAAGATGCATACTTGAAAAATTCTGGAATCCTGAAGTACAGTCGTGAGGATCAGAAGTATCTAATCTTCTTTTCTTGTTCAGTCTTTGCTAGTGCATTTGAAAAGTCAGAGTAGGTAGCTGCACAGCTGGAGGATGTTCACAAGTTCCTTTTTTTAAAATGTATCTGTATTTTTACTATAAGCCAACGGTTCCTTCTGGGAAACTGTCTATAGCACAATACTGAAAACAAGAGATGACTGCAAATGTGTGTGTTTCTTACTGACATCTGACATTTCTTTTGCCTTGAAACTTCTTCATAGGTTTCAGAAGGCAGATAAGAGAAAACACTGTATTGTAGATTCATTGCAACATTTCTGGGGAGATGTAAAGAGTTTCCCACTAGAAAAATTGAAGAAAAAGCATTTCTTATTAAATATAGTAAAAAGGAGAAGAAAGGCCTTTGATATCTCTACTGTGAAGTATTTATAGGCAATGGAACGCTACCATACAGGTTGCCTCCACGGAATATTTTGAGTGCTTTTTCAGTTAAAGTGAGAGGAGTACGTGTTTACAAAGAGCTGGTGCCTTTACTTTGTAAAGAAGATCCTTGCCTCATCTTGAGTTTAATCAGTGCTGCTGAAGAAATTCCATTTTATATGTTAAACCTCCTCTGAATATTTGTGGAGTAGCAGAAAATGTGTTCTATCCTTTTTTGCATTTATTTCTCTGTGTTATGAATTGTGTCACTTGTCTCATGAAATTTTTGTGCTCATATAACTTAAATCATGTCTTTCGCAGTTTCTTAAAAGCTGTAAGGATGGCTGAAAGGAAAATAGTGATGTTTCACTTTCAGATATTTGCTGTTTATATCATGCATCTTAGCTACAAAAGGGGCAGGCTTCATTAACATTCACCTTGTCTTATAACATTTATCTGAATTCGGGATGTGGATTTCTCAGTGCAGCGCTTCTGAAAATATTCTCCTTTACCTTGTGCTGTATCTGCACACCTACAGAAATGATAACACTACAATAATACTGGGGCCGTACTATTACTGAAAAAGTCAAACCTGAATTAGTGGACTTTTGCTAACATTCGAGCTTTAGCAGTCTTTAAGCTGAGCCTGCAGGTTCAGTGCCATCAATGATGCCATCTCTTTGAGTTCCCACAGATGTAGTGCCATCCAGAAGGTGGAATCCTACTCGAAGTTTTCCACGGATTGTTACAGTTGGGTATGGGGAACTTTTTAACTCCAAGATAGTCTTTCAGTATGATAACTATCGTTAAATGCTTTTCTTTTTCTTGTTTCACTGTAGATTTAGAGAATCATTTTCTATAAAAAGGACTCTGTAAACGTAGCTTTCTAAACTTAGCCTCTAAACTTGATGATCTTGATTTAGCATTTTGTGTGATAAATGCTTCAGACATGGGAAGATGTAAATGGCAATATACCTATCAGAATAAGCTAAACATGCTTGGAACACTCGCTTTTCCAAAAACAGTCCATGTCTGTTTGCTAGGTCCAGTGCTAGAGAGAAAACAAGCACACCTTGCTGCTCCTGGAGAGGCAAGCTTTACGAGAAGAGTCCTCTGGTGAGGTAGCTGAATATAGGAAATGTGACTTATAGATATGCAAGTGGCAGGCAAGAGTACAGGAGTGCAAGTAGAGATGCTTTCATTATGTCAGTTTTTTTTATATTTATTGACTTGCTGTGATATAAGCTGCCCCATCAAGCTATGTACATGTTTTCAGCCTGAGTGAACAAAGTGAAAGTTCCTGTCTTTTGATAACTGTGGGTGGCCTTTCCTTTTGGAAAAATGATAATAATGTGTGCCAAAATATATACGTTCTTTGGCAAGATACAGATTCAGTAAATATTTGTGTTCATGGCCTGTGGTTGCTTTGGACTTCTGATGTTGCAAAATCTTAACAAGATAATATTTTTGCAGTTTTGGGGCATTGTTTTCAAATGTCCCATAGAAGGTCTTTGACAGTATCCAGAATGCTTTCTGAGATGTGCAGTACACACTGTTCAAATTCAAAGATTGAACTTTTTTCTGTCTTTTTGAAATTTGTTTTTTAATTCCTTTCTTCACTACTAGTTTCCAGTTTCTTTAGTTATGTTCAGCTGATTATTGAAAAAATATTCTAGCCCTTCTGGCTCCTTGTGTTTTTTATCTTCTGCCAAATTATTTGGCTACCCTCTGAAAAGGTCCAAACAAGATTTTGGCATGGTGGAAACTCTGCTGTGTCCCTGAAAAGAAAATATTCCAAATAATGAAGGCTTAATTACATCCTGAATTTAATACTCCTCCTCTAAAAGGAGCTTGAAAGTTGGAAACTTGTGAGCTATTTCCAGACAACAATAAGGTATTTAAATAAAATGCTCATCAGCAGAATAAAGAGCAAATAAAGAACAAACCAGTATTTTATGCAATAATCTTGTCTGTCTGTCAAGAAACTGAGGTTCTAGCTCATGGCAGAAATAAATTTGAGGTAGTTGGGGCTTTGTTTTTTTGGTTATAATTTTTGGTTTTAAACCAACAGCATCCACCCAATCAAATGTCCATCTGGAATTGGAAATGGGGTTTCTGACTCTTTTAGCCTTGAGACTCTGGCTCAGCCCTCCAGTAAGAGTAGAGGTGGGGGCTAAAAATCGTAACTGCTTGAAGAGGTAATTGTTTAATGAATAGAATTACATGTCAATTCTGAAAGGATGGAGTGGGAAACCAAGTGAGGAGAGGCATTCCAATCCCATGCATCAGCTTTTGCTTTTCAATATGGTTTTCTTTGAAGTGCTTCAAGAGAACTCTAGAGGATGCAAGAGAACTCATCTAATGGTGAACATAAGCAAGAGGCCTGCCCCCAAGTTCCCAGGGGCCCATCAGAGTGTGTAATTGCTACCTTTCAGCTACAAAATACAGAGATTAGTCTTTAAAATAACTCCATCTTTCTTTGTTTCTTCCAGACTGTGTTAAACTTTTGCTAAGTTCAGTGGGAGAGACCCAGAGAACATTGAGACATTTTTATTTAAGATTCCTAATGTACGTAGCCTTAAAACCCTCATTTCTGCTGGCTGGGTGTGAAAATACCAGACCTGTAAGACGTAGTCTGGAATTGCTGCAATCAGGAGCTTTCTTCTTCAGCTTGGTAGACAAGTCCTTCAGTGCACTTACTTTGTAGTTGAGTGCTTGTCTTTTAATAACGTCTCTTTCTGTTGCTGAATGCTTATGTTTTATGAGGAAGAAAGAAGTGGGAAGAATACGTATGAATAATTTCAGGTTAATAGGGCTTTCCTAACTTCAGCTTCTTGGTCATCTCTTTTGTTCAAGACAGTCTGTTGTTTCAGAGACAGTCACTGGAGTGTGTAATTAGATCTGCCAGCCCATGTAGCCTAATGAAAAAATGCTTTTTGAGAAATCTTTGGACTATCTTGTGCATCTACGACCAAGTGAAATTGGGTTAAGCTGGAAGAATTTATTGCTTTCATCTTCCATTCTGTGAACTCACGAGTTTTCCTGTGTGAATGGGGACGTGTGACCTTTTCGGTTGCTATCTTTCAATACCTTGTATTGCTGCTTAAGTGTTGTAGGCTACTAATGATTCAGAGACCACAAGCTAAGTTATGGTATACCATGTGATTTTCCCCCAACACCGTTCAGTCTGAAGTCTGTGAAGAGGGAGAAGTGATGTTAATGCATGAACGAGAATGAATTAAGCAAAACATATTCCTAAGATAAATGTATTTCCATGTAAGAGCCATGTTGGTTACTGCTCATGTCTTTGTTCTTCTCATGAAGATAGCAAATACTTTTGTAATATCATGTTTTGGTTTTGTTAGTATCCCATTCTTTGTTTCAAGAGAAAATTAAAAATTCCTTATGAATATTCTGATTGCAATATTGTATGTGGGTGGCATCCCTCCTTGCCATTATATGTTACTAATAAAGTGTATAATGTGTAACTTGATTGGAGCCCAGGTTACCTTTTTTGACAGCTGTTGATACGGCTGATGGTCTAAAAATGTTTTGTTTTGTTTTTTTTTTTTCTTAGAAGCTGCCATTTAATGTAGGAAAATTTTATAAGTGAATGATATACCGTGTCATTAATGAACATACATGCCCACGTATATGCAGAGTGCATGTATGCAGGGTATATAAATGTATTCTACACAAGAGTATTGGCTTACAGAGAAATTTTCTCATGGTGTGGAATTAAAGTATTGGCGTCAGTAGTTGAGTTGCACTGCTCTAGCACAGTGATTTCTCTTCCTTGGCTTTGGAAAAGGTCTGTGAGGAAAAGAAAGTGCAGTTAACCCCTAAAGCAGAGCAATCCGAAGGCAGCTCCTTAAGGGCAGTTCAAATATTATTTTAATAAAGCACCCAGCTGTAGAGAGGTTATCTGGGGAGAAAGAGTAGAGTAACTTCTTAGAGAGGATAGAGTGAGACATTACATTCAGTTGCGGCCCAACTTTTGTTTCTAAAACTGGAGTTGTCTTCAGTGAGAGCCCAGTAGGACCCTTGTGAACACTCTGCAAGGGTTCTGTCACTTATCCTCAGCCATTTAGCCCCGCTCGTCAGCTGTGAGCCAGGTAAGTTTGAGCAGCCTGCTTCAAAGAAAGTAGAGTCACTGTAAGAAAATGTTTTTATTTTATTTTTTTAAAATTTTATCTCCCTTCTCCTCCAAACTGGGATTATCTCTGAGCTATTTTTATATAAGAGATTGTTCACAGAAGAGGTTGC